CAAATATGCCCACACAAGCACACGATTTAAAATCAAACTAAAGAACAACGTTTCATCAGGGCGGCTTTAATGAGCCTCCCTGACTCGCTTTGTGTTCTCATCGTGACTTTTGGTACACGTGATGACAAGCTCTGCCAAGACCACACAACATCTCCAGTCTACCATCCCACGTCCTCAAATCTGTCTCCAAACAGATGTCCTGACAGCTTTAATCTTTAATTCATTTTAGTCCGCACGGTTGGCCCTTTTCACGGCGATAGATCTGTGATTAGTGCAATAAGGGTTGAATCTTTCTCATTATCTTTATGCGAGGTTTAATCCGGAAGCTCGTCCGGTGTCTTAGATGGGATTGATTCTAAACTGTGCCTGCCCCATGCTGGGAGAGTTCGATGCTTCAGGGAGCTTGCCCTGTCAAACACAACTCATTACGGGATGCTGGATAGGACCAGGAGGAGTCATTAGAGGTGAACATCTGAGGTTTGGCGCTTCAGATTTCTATTGCAGCATATGTGGAGTATAATTTTATTGGCAGAATTTCACAAACAGTGTTCTTCATTCTTTCAATGTTTAATTTTTAAGCCTAACAATGGCTGTGTAATATTAGGAAAGCATGCKATACCGCAATTATGAACCAACACACATTCAGAGAGCAAACATTATACAAGATTCATGTGGATGTTTGTTGCCAGTTGGTGTCAATTCTGCTTGTTTGTTAGCAAAATATTTCACAAATCATTTGACAGATTTCAATAGAACTTTCAGGAAATAATTGCCAGATGTACCCCTAAYGCAATTTTAATTTGAAAGCCAATCCAATTCAAGATAAAGCTCATGCATGACTAAATAATTCATTTATTATGACCGATATTAAGCTAAAATTGTGTGTTGTTGTTGCTGAAAATCGTTTACAACACATTCAAAGTGCAACACATTGTGTGAAATCTTGGCTTAAAAGTTTTATCAAGTTTTGGGGTCAACAAGGTTTCARTCAAAACATCTTATGAAGCACTGGAGGATTTTTAAACAGAACTTTTTAAAATATCTATTGGATGCACATCTACAACTGATTCACTTTTGAAGACAAGCCATTTAAAATTGGTCACAACATCTGATTAATATAGCAAACAAAACAAAGCTATAACTCAATCAATTTTGAAAATACTGGACTCAGATTTGATGTGTTTGTGGCTGAAAGTCGTCCTCAACACCTAGTCTGAGTGTGATGTTTCCCTTAATTGCATTAGACTGCAACATTGCATTATCGTTTAATATTTAATCAAAACATCTAAAACTCTGGCGTGAAAAGTGACACAGATTTATCTCCCTTAAAATATTTTAGGCCTTTAAACAAAGGATTAAATATTAAAAACAATACAATATTTTAAAATAATCATCATTTTGCTCTCTAGTTTTTTCTTTTCTTTCATTTAGGATTCTCCCAATAACATGTTAGTGTGGATTTTCAGTAAATTCAACATGCTATTCTTCCAACAACCCTCTCCATGAGTTTTATTATGTTGGATGCTTTTATCTAAACCAAGTGAGGGAATGAAGGGCAGTGAGAGTCCATCCAGCTTGCCCAATATACAGTATCACCTGTGTGTGATTGTGAATGTTTGGCACAACAAATATAATATCCATGTTTTGCAGATCAAACAGACCTTTTTGGCTTTGGTTACATTGTAAAATGATCAGGAGCTGTAACTCTAATGCAAGATTTTGAAAATTAAAGAAAACTCCCACTTAAAATTTGGAACTGCTGCCTTTGCACACATAAGTAGTTGATCCAATAAACAAAAAGCCTCTTATTGCCCAGTGGTTAAAACGTATGTCAGATTATATGCAAACACACAGGCACTAATCCTAACTCTGAAATATCCAGGATTGGATTATTTTTGTTTTAACGGCCATGTGTGGGAGGAGAGTTTTATTGTTTGACTGCACAGATGACGGTCTTGGGTTATGCATCCTTATTTGGCATTCATTGTGTTTATTTAGCACTGCAGGCTAATTTTAAAAGGACACTAATACAGAGGATGTTGCTGGACATCACACAGTATGACACAAATGAAAAAAACATATTTTACTCTCAATGACTGCTGCAACGTGGCTTCAAACTAAACAAATCAATTTCTTAATATTTATAAATGTGTAGAATACTGTATCGTATGTTTGTTTTCCTAGAAGGCAGAACCTGAGAGGTTTGGGTTGGACATGATAACAGAAGGTGTGGACCACCTGAAATGATCCATTGAGCATCAGCAATCTGTCTTCCTAAGGCGGCCTGCACAGAGCAGAATGCAATTAGCTGAACGTCCCGCCGGAAATGGAGAAGAAGATACAAAGAAAAAAAGATGAGCCCACAGCTGCAAGCTACAGGGCAAATTACAATTAACCTCTCTGTAACACACACACACACACACACACACACACACACACACACACACACACACACACACACACACACACACACACACACACACAATTACATGAGCATACACATTCAATATCCTCTGCATAGGCTGTGGTTTTGGTAGGCCACCTCTGGGAGGTTGTGGTAATGACCCAGAGAAATGTCCAGTGACCTGAGGGAAACCAGGCCGTTTATTGTAGTTCAGCTGATAAAATTCTCAAACACAAACACAAACAAACACAAACTCTACAGATATAGTTGAAGAAAGTATTGGGGTTTAGGTTTATATTACTGGTTTTAATTACATACACATGGTGTAGTCTTATGATAGAACTGTAATGGTTGTTAAACGTGACTGTTTTTGCTTAACTTGATGATTTTATATTAATAGCTACATGCCTGAAAACAAATTCAACACATAACTGAACTTTTAAATCTTCATTAGGATAGATTATTATGCCTGGGGCGTGGCTTCTGGTAACCCTTGGACCCCTCCAACTGATGACGTAATCAATAGGTGGAGCCATGTCTCGGAGACTTTGTTAAAAACAAATGCACTTCCATGTTTTCTGTCTGAACACTTGGTAATTAAAGACCGGTCTTCAGCAGAGCGCTCTCTGGTTTTGTGTGATTTCTCATTATTAATCTTTTCCATGCATTGGTACATTCTCCGTATGTTTTAGCACACAAACTGGTGAACGAACAACGCATAACAATATTTTCTTTCATTTCTATTTAATTGTTTTTCCACTTTTTCTTTTTTTTTTTGTTGTTCAGATTAGTTTGTGGAAACAATCTATGTCCTTAATTTCCACCCTACCATAAAGTACTATTTTTGGATTTTTTCTTAACAGTTTCTCTCCATAATACAGTTTTGCTTTAGCTTCACAATAGTCTAGCAGCAGATTTGTTTTTGTTTGTAAATGGGATCAAATATTTCTTGGATTTATAGAAGTGGGGTGTTTGCATGTATTTTATTTAATTTGTCTGGACTCTGGCATTATGTCATGAACCAGTGGATGTATTTCAATAAAAATCCTATAATCAATGAATGACTGTCTTCAACTGATTAGCATCTGTAGTTAATCCAAGTGAATGCACATTCCTTCAAGGGATGCTAGGCCTTTAATTGAAGCATTTTATCTAAAGGAAAACATTTCTAAAGTGCTCTGTTTGCCTCAGTATTTGCTAACCTTTTATTCCACCGGTGGACTCAGTGATTCAATTCATCCCTTGGTGACCAAGTTCAATTTGCCAACAACGTATCACCTCACCAGTGTATAAATTCCCACTGCAGTCAACAAATGCTTACAGTAAAMGTGTCTGGCTCCTGTATTAAGCTTGATCAAAGCTGCTTGTTAATCGTCCAGTTCTTTTCCATTCAAACCACAATTTGGGCAACGTTCTTCTTTCTTCTATGCTCCTCTGTGTTTTTAACTTCCCAACAATGTGACACACATACTGTGTGCACGCCTCTCACACACAAAACAGCATGCGCTGCACAAACACACACACAGAGGGCTTCAGGAGCAAGGTCATCCTGGCTGCGATGCGAGGGCCGTGCTGCACATTGCACCCTGCTGAGGAGAGAACAGGGCAAATGTGGAGAGTGCACAAAGATGAAGAGAGGTTTGATGATAAGCAGAAAATGATTTCTTCCCATCAGCTCAGATGTAATGACCTGCTGCACGTTAGTCTCCACATCTCGTGCAGTATTTGATGCTACCTGCTCCCAATGAGGGGGGAAGGATRAAAAAAAGCCAGAACGTGCCTGTGAATAATAGATGCCAGATTAGGATTTCAGCCCCCCTGGTGTAACCTATTAATTCCAAACTCAGCCATCATTCCCACAGTAAGTTGAGGTGGGTTGCACCCGGGCCCATTTGCCTGCTCCCACAGCATGTTTATGGGCAGTGGAGGTGACTGTACCGTCTCGGGCCACCACCCGTTCATATTCCACTCTCCCCACCCTTGGTAACAGAGGAGGTGGGAGTGGGGCGGGATGGATGGTGACCATCTGTCCGTGGCGCGGCCATCAATAGGGGCTGGCGGGGGGAGYGGGAGGGGAGGGGAGCTGCGAAGCTAAATATGTGTCTCGACGTGCGGCCGCTTTATTTCCCAAACCAAAACACACTCCCCACCAGCCCCACTCACACGGCCTTTATTCACACATGACTAATTTTGGCCTGAGCCGTCAGACACCCAGAAACAGAAGATCAGATTCTTAACTTCCGCACACATTGATATTTAACACTGATTCCTGCTTTTAATTCTAAAATGTGCTCCCATTTCAGTGGGACTGGTGAAGAAAATGCTGAAAACAAACAAAAAAGGAAAAAAATATATGATGGAGGCAAAAAGAGACAGGTGAGTGTTTATTTTGTGGGTTCGTGTAAATCTAGCTCACTGTGGCAGTGGGTCAGTTGACACGAGGACAAAACACTAATAAAAGAACAGCAAAACAATGTTGTCGCTCTGAAAATGCTGACTTCAGCTGAGCGATGGAGCGCCACGCTGCTCCTGGATGCAGCGGGAGCTAAAAGAACAGGTTTGGGTGTGGGAGATGAGGAGAGGAGAGCAGACTTACCCAGCATTTGACTGAAGAGCAGCTGTTCCAGATCTCCCAGTACTGTCACAACTAACTCTGGATCCACCTTTAGAAAGCTCTTGTCATCTTCTCCCTCTGTCCCCTTCTTCTCTTTTTTGTCCTCCGTTATCTGAGCTCCAGATCTGCTCTTTTCTCCTGTTTTTTTGCCATTAGTTCCAGTACTTCCAGCTTCACAGGCTTTAAGAGGGGGGTCAGCAGGGTCTATGTCTGCACTCTGACTGGACTCAGAGGTCTTGCTGATGGGTTTGACCTCGGCGTAGGGTCCCCGTGGTTTCCCAGGCGCAGGTATTCGGCTTGGCTTACCCAGGTTTGGCGTCACAGCCGGAGAGGTGAATGGTTTGGGCTTCCCCTGAAACAGAGACTGTTCTGACTTTGAAAGTGTCCGGGAGAGAGGCGGTCTCCCACCACCAGCTTGACCTGTCTTGGTCTGGCCTCCTTTACTTTTCCCCTCGCCGGGTCGGCCTGTGTCATCTTTCCATCGGGGAGACTGGTACAGGTGCAGCTTCTTCTCAGCGTCAGTGAGCACACACAAGTTGCCAAGCGAGCGCTGCTTGCGAAGCCTGGAAGTATTGGGGGTGGGAATGGGGATGGATCCGGAGTTGGGCCGATACACCTTGAGTTCAGACCCGGAGGGACGTGAAGGCCCCTGGGACTGAGCRAGGGGCCTGACCTGTGGCTTCCTGGAGGCCATAGCCTGGGTGGAGGTGTCCTGGCAGGAGACAGCCGCAGACCTCAGGTCCAGCTCTCTGGGCTTAGCCGTCATGCTAATGGTAGCCACGTTAGCCTCCAGCATCCCTCCTGCAAGAGAGCCAAGCAACAGCAACATTGACACACTTGCAGGAACACACACACCAGCAGACTGAAAGAACAGGAGGAAGGGGAAGGGGGACAAAAACATGTGTAGTGACACAAAGGCTGTCTGGTTTGCGTACCCTTTATACCCCTGGGTCATGACTGAGGCAGACTCCCTGCAGTGTGAGACAGCCTTGCCGCTGCTGAAACAAAATGTTAATAAAAGTGACAGCCTCACTCACTGCTGATAATCCATGGATGTGTGCAGATCTGTGTCCAGTTTTAAAATCCACTTGCTGAGAAATACGTCTTCAGCTTCCTGAGCCCCACAGACCGAGAAACAGACCCTCCTCTACCTCTCTGTCCCGCTTTCTGCCTCTTTCTGTGCTCCCTCCTGCTCGCCAGGCAAGCAGCAGCCGACTGACAGTCGCAGCAGCAGCAGCAGCAGCAGCAGCAGCATCCTCCCCCCACCTCCTCGCTCTCTCCTCCCTCTGCCTCTCCCTCACTCGCTGCTTTGCTCGCTCTCCCCACCCTCCCTGCCAGCTCATTCACCCTTTCCTCCTCCTCTTTCCTTCCTTCCTTTCGTTCTTGTTGTCTTTCGTTCTGTCTCTCCACCCAATGGCTGATTCACCACTCCATCCTCTGCTTGAAACCAACACACACACACCCACACACACACACTGCAGTGTTATGCTGCCTACCGATGAGTGCAAACATAAGGGGTTGATGAGCATTTTTTTAGCATCTTGTGTAAACTCACCCCCTTCCGTGTATTTGTGTTGCAATAACGGCTCTCTATTTAAGCACATTCGTTTTGACTCAGACTTTCCCTCGAAATAATTCTTCCCATTCAAGCCATGTCAGAAAATCCCTTTGTTCTTGTTCTTTCATTTTCATAAAAAATAAAAAAGAAGTAAAAAAGAAAACAAAAGGATATTACGCAGAGTACAGCTAAGAATGACTCACTGGATCTTGGACATTTGAATCACACTCAGGTCAGCCAAACAAACCCCCAATTAATCATTAAATATATTCATTTAAAAAAAAAACTCATTCAGTCACAGTCACATTTTTAATCACCATCAATAATTGGAGTCAAATCATCTGTAAAACAAGATATGCATGTCATTAAATATGTTGCAATTAGAATCCGACAGACACCAGAATAATCAGCACACAACCCCACCTGCCTCAAATGACCTTTATCTTTCTTTTATTAATTTCCTCACCTCCGTTCCTACCAGTATGCCCCACACAGGCAATACAGATGCCATTATATATTATAGATCCAATACATTATACAATACATCCCTGCAGAATGACATAAAACCTAACAAACATGTGTCCATGTGGGTGTGTGAATGGATATAGAGTCTACATTTTATACTGTGTGTGTGTGTGTGTGTGTGTGTGTGTGTGTGTG